TTCAAATTATTATTATTATTATTATGTCTGAAACTCGGATGTTGAGCCATAAATAAATGTAGAAAGGATTATAGTGCTGTCCAGGCACAAACATCACCAGGGATACAACTTGCAGAGACACTCCGTTTCCAGTTCTGTGGATGGCAGTGGTGAGTCAACCAAGTGTCAAGTCGTCGGCGGAGTAGCGCGAGCTCCAGTGGGGGAGCAAACCCATTCCTTATCAAAATCATCGCCGAAGTCGCAACCTCTATTTCGTACTGTTGTGCCCAGCGCCGCCGTGCGACTAGCTGGTTTGGAGTTGACAGCGTTGTGAATGACCGAGGGTCCTCTCCGTTTGTTCTCACCATCCAGGAGCGATAACTGACTCTCGCTGCTATCTGGTGTTCACGAGGTGTTTGTCGCGCTTGAAACGGGGTGCCTCTGTAAGTTTGTATCCCCGGTGATGTTTGTGCCTGGACAGCACTATATAAGTGGTGCTCTTCAGGCACAATCTTCCTCAGCCTACCAATAATTTTTTTGTGCGACTGTTGATGCAAAAGTGACTGAAGGCCTGAGCGCAGTTTTTGAATTTATTGCAAGATGCACGGTGAAATCACGTGCCTTGTGACGCAAGAATGCCAAGTCGCGTGGCCGACGGCTCACGAGATTTCAGAGTCACCTTTGTCAAGTGCGCTTGTTACTCGCCTTGAACGCCCGTTGGTCTGGAAGTGATCACACTTGTGTTGTTACTGCGCTCAAGAACACGCTGACCGGGTTGTAGGCGTACGAACCGGGACTTTCCCTGACCATGTAGGTCGAAGACCAGTGAAATGATGATGAAATCACATTCTTTATGACGTAAGAAATCTCTCATGCAGTTCACGCGACAAGTGCGTGCAGCCAGTGCTGCTCGCGTGCCAGTCAACACAAAGGGACCGAGCTAGCCGCTTTTGTCGAGCATCGACATGAAAACAAGGGACTTTTACTGTTGGTTTATGTTCGGGATTGCAGGAGGTAAGCGTGAAAGACGAATAACTCTCCATGCTGTACGGGGCATATTTCAACGGCTTGCTGCGATTGCAACACTCCTACAAGGACAGTTTGTGGGGATTCTCAGCAGTTCAAGCAGGAAATGAAGCTCATCGTACCTCTGCCATCATGGTCTGTTCCGAGTAGCGTTCCAGGCACATTCGCGATCGATGGCCGCGTATCGTGATGCAGGAAGCGTCATCCTACGTCACAGAGCACGCGATCTCACCGTGCATCTTGCAAAAAATTAAAAAACTGCGCTCAGGCCTTCAGTCACTTTTGCATCAACAGTCGCAAAAAAAATTATTGGTGGCGCAAGGAGAAGCTTGTCGTTTGGAGTGACAAGTGATCACCGCTGCTTTTCCTTGTCAGAGTCAACACTACACTTTGTTCTGCGGCCTTGGGATTAGTGTTGGAGTAGAAATTGCTGAGGAGATGTGGCGGAGGGGCGAGCTTTCCTGCGCAGGTATGACTTTGGGCGTATTTCAGCATGGTCGAGTGGAAAAATTCAAAAAAGTTTATTTCAAGAAAACCCCAAAAGGAAGATGGGGGACATGTCCTCAGCGCTAGAAGAGGTGTTCTACTATCTGCCGGTGTATAGTTCTGGCCAATTGAGGACGTAGCTGGCTGTTTTGCCAGCGCTTGTAAATTGGCTATTTTCAAGACGATCATTTGTGGCGTCAGGGGGTGATGGACCTCATCTTCTGGGATGCTGGCGTGGCTAAGCGGTACTGCTCCAGGAACTCTTCTAAGGTGAGGCAATGTTGGCTTGATGGAGTTTTGTTCATAGCTTGTTCATATACGCTGTGGCGTGACTCGTTTCTAGACCCATAAATAATGTGATATTTCGGCCATTTTTGAGGGGTATGCAAATTTCAAGGTTTCCTTCCGAAACATTTTCAAGGGCTTTGCACAATCAATCCACACCCCAAAGGGAACCTACCTGCAAATTTTGAGCGAAATCGGAGAGATCCACTTGCACACATACTTTGGTATTCTCAGACATGCTCTCTTAAGCTCAACTGATGAGGGGTAAATTCCCCGAAACACTGTGTATTGAGCAAGGGGTGGTGCTTTCTTGCAGGTCTGCCGAGTCGAAGGTTCGATGGACTTCTCGTGCTCTCTGGATGGCAGTCGTGAGTCAGTCAAGTGTCAAGTCGTCGGCGGGAATAGCGCGAGCTCCAGTGTGGAAGCAAACCCATTCCTAAACAAAAATCATCGCCGAAGTCGCAACCTGTATTTCGAGCGGTTGTGCCCTTCGTAACTCACACTTCCTGTGAATCCACACGGGCGGGTGGGACGCAGCCCTCACTGTGACCCACACACTTCACGCACAAACTAGCACGCGGGGAGCCCCAAGTCATAAAATGTTAACTGGTTTAAGGGAAAGAGACAAACGGGACTAGTCTGAAGAAAAAACTGACTGTCGCCACCAGGACTCGAACCAGGGACCTTAACTTGTAGCCAGCGATGCTCTAACCACTGAGCTATGGTGTAGTTGTCATTCCGGCAGAGGCCATTCATTAACGAGAGAGCTTGGAAGCTCAGGGCCCTACGCTATGCTTTTTTTGCCTTGATGACCTAGACAAAAAAAGCATAGGGATGTTATAAATTCTTTAAAAAATTCCTTTTTTTAAAGACATAACCTGAGATTCGAACCCGCACTATCGCGCGCCCTGCATGCATCCCCCGAAACACTTCGCATACATACTAATTCTTCCAAGTTGTTTCACATTGTGATCTTGCATTTGAAATCCCCATTTGAATATGCATTGTGGCCAGCCGTCTTTGATGGCACGGTACTGTAGGGGATAGGTATGGGACAGGTACGATCGAGGGTAATACGACACCGTCTCCCGTACCGTACCGTACCATCAAACACAGCTAGCCACATACAGCTGCGCGCAATATCCAAATAGGGCTTTCAAATGCAATATAATAACATAAAGCAACTTGGAAGAATGGGCAGTGGCGTGCACCGAGTCTTGAAAGGGGGGTTTCTAGAGTTGGTAAAAAAAATTTCTGGAGACCCACTGTATATTATGTATTTTGTGCACATGCGCATCCCTCGAACATGCCGTCGAAAATAACGGCGAGGGCTGGGCACAAACGCCTGAGAGGGAACCAGGTACAGAGGTAGAAAAGACAGAAATAAGAGTAATGAGGAATGGAGGGAGGGGACGATGTTGCATGGAAATGTTGGTACATGTATAACCGGTAACAGCATAAAACGGGTTACCTTTTACATACCAGCACTTCAAAAAGCATTTGCAAAGAGGGTGCAAAAGTCAATGTACTCATAAGTTCAATATGACAAACATGTATATGAGTCATATACATGTTTGTCATATTGAGCACGTAAAAGTTTGATAGGCCTAGCCGCCCAGGCGACACTACTGTCTATTTACATTCGACGGATCTTTCTTTCTGTTCTTATGACGAAGTTTTCAGCATGTGCATGTGTTGGCAATGTTCCACAGGATTTCAATAAAGAGTTATGGGCCTTGCTTCGATGGAAGCTCGCGGAAGAAAAGCGAAGCCCCGCGTCCTTGAGTCGCAGCCGGAGCAGCGCTTCGTTCTGAAGCAGCACAAGTGGATCATGGACGCGCATTTTTGCGTCTTCCAGTCGACAACGTTTTTTGACGAACATCTCTGCTGCGCACATGAGTGAGAACGAAAGGCTGTGGAGATCTTGATTTGAGTCAACAGTTTGGAAGGAGATATCGTCAATCATATCCTTGAACTGACTTGCAACGCGCGCGCTTGACTCAAATTTCGAGACAGAACGGATTTCTTGAACGTCATGCGTCATCGCCAATCCAGGAGCAAACCAGAGCTAGAGATCGATCTTTCTGTCGCTACTCTCCACTGAAGAAAGAGAGAATAATGTATTTTGAACTGCATGCAAAGCAACTCTTTCTCACTTCGAAATAAGGACATAGACACTGTACTGTAAACTGCCCGTCGATCGACGCTTATGCAGGATAACCAATCCAGTAGGCACGCTTTTCCTTTGGCAAGATTGCCCGAAAAAAGGTGGTTTCCAGACACCAAAAAACTCATACGGTGCTCGCGCCTGATGGGTATGAATGCGAAGTGTATGGGGGAATGCATGTAGGGCGATAGTGCGGGTTCGAATCCCAGGATATGCCTGAAAAAAGGAGAATTGAAAAATTTATAACATCCTATGCTTTTTTGCCGTCAGATACGGATAGCGCCAGGCGTGACACAAACAAACACACAGACAAACAAATACCGAATTAAAGCTGTGTGGACCCTGGCTAGCGCCAGACGTTACTGAAGTAACGTCTTCTGCATAGTTACGGGAATAATAATAATAATTGGTTGTGTTATCAGCGCTTGTAAATGGGTTCCTTGCAAGACTATCATTTGTGGCGTCGAGGGTGATGGCCCTTGTCTTCTGGGATGATGGCGAGGCTAAGCGGTACTGCTCTGGTAACTTTTCTAAAGTGAGGCAAGTTTGGCTTCCATGGAGTTTTGTCCTTAGCAGAAATGCCTTTTTCGGCCGTACTTGAGGGGCGTGCAAGTTTCAAGGTTCCTTTCAGAAACGGTTTCAAGGACTTTGCACTGTCCATCTAGTCCCCTTAGGGAACCTGCCCGCAAATTATGAGCGAAATCGGAGAGATTGACTTGCACATATGGTTCGGTTTTCTCAGACATGGTTTTCCCACCTTCAAAACAGGCTCAGGAGCAATGCAAGCAAAATACCACAAAATACCACAAAATACCACAAAGTACCACAAAATACCACAAAATACCACAAAATACCACAAAATACCACAAAATACCACAAAATATCACAAAATACCGCAAAATATCACAAAATACCACAAAATACCACAAAATACCACAAAATACCACAAAATACCACAAAATACCACAAAATACCACAAAATACCACAAAATACCACAAAATACCACAAAATACCGCAAAATACACAAAATACCACAATGCAACAAATCTAACTTACACCTGTGTTTGGTCATTGCAGCTTGTAAGGGTTTTGTTCACCCCAATTCCTTCACATGTACAGGGTCCACAAGTATTGGATCCTTCACAATATGCGCTCCAATAGGTTAATAAGAACAGTATTGTCAAGGTAGACATCTGGGCATATAATAAAAACAATGTACACATCATTGAATCTAAAGGAAAAAGAGAGGACCAAGGAACTATGTGTCCAATGTACCACTATAATCATTATGCCACTCCTGAAAAACATTGCTAACTGGACTTGGATTGTTTCTCAACTGGTGGTGTTAGTGAACATTATAGTCTAACTTGTAGTTCCATCGACTTTTTTTCTTTTTTTTGGCTAAATTGGACGATGTTCCATTCTCCGGTCCCAAAACGATCACCTTATCTTCACCCCACTGAACTGTACCTTGCTCCCTACAGTGCATTTCAAAACTTCAAGACGCGTAAGATTTTTGAAATATTTCAAATTTGGCTGGAACTTTTTGAGAATAGTTTTCGGAATATTGCTCAGGATCGCTCCACAATTACTCTCATATAGTTTCTAAAGGATTGGATAACAGACGCCCAATTTGGAAAAATTTATGCACAAAGTGATCACAGATTTTATGTGGTATAGATGCTGGCATAACGGTTTTTGCCTAGGTACGCGTCTATAGTTTTGAAATGGACTGTAGAGCTCTCGAATCACCTCAGTGCAGAATGTTTTGCGTTTACGTTTATTTCTTCTCTTCTTTCCTTTTTTGCTGCTTTTCGTGGCCCCTTTCTTGCTGATCCAGTGCCTGCACACTACTCTGCCTGGCAGCAGCTCCGATCTAACTTCTCCGTATTGCCCCTCCCCCCCCCCCCCACTGAAAGCAACGCAGCTGTTGGTCCATTACTATAGTTTCCTGAACTAATTTGGCACTCACTCACCCCCCCCCCCCCCATCTCTTCCCCCCTCTCTCTCTCTCTCTCTCTCTCTCTCTCTCTCTCTCTCTCTCTCTCACCGTAATGGATCCGTACTGTAGTTTGAGCCGTGCCTGGGCTTGTACTACGCGCCACGTGCTTGGCGCTTGTCGCAAAGCGCTGGACCAGGGACGTTACACCTGGAGGCACGACAACGTACTAGGGGTCATCGTCATGAACATGCGTGAGGAGATTCGAATCCGCACTGCTGAAAACACTGTACAAACCGAAAATTCAAATGAACTTGAATCCATCTCGTTTTGCAAGGCGGGAGAGAAGCCAGTTTGCGTTCAGCCCAGACGGAAGTTGGTTACGACTGATCTCCTGTCAGCGGCCTCAGACTGGAAACTTCTTGTCGACTCAGTTAGTGCAAAGATTTCTTTCCCTAGCTGTGTTGCACTTACCACCCTAAGACCAGATATAGTTTTGTACTCTACGAGTCGTAGGATTGCATTCTGGATGGAGTTGACAGTTTGTGCTGAGGACAGATTCCGTGTCAGTAACTCGCGGAAGGACAGGCGGTATGCGGATCTGGCCGATCAATGCCGAACAAATGGGTGGCAGGTCGTTTCTTTTTCGGTTGAGGTAGGTGTGGGTGGTTTCATCCCGGACTCTCTTCGGAGGGCTCTGAAAGCGCTTGGGTTTTCTAATCGAAGAATAACATTTATTTGTAATTTGTGCAGTAAGACGTCTCTGCAAAGCAGCTACATCATCTTGTTGCGACATCAACAAAAACACTGGTCGGAAGATCCACTTTTCTGAGGTACTGGGTGTGGGGCTCCGTTTATTGAGGTGCGTTGAAATTTATTCTCTTTATCCTATTTTTTTTCTATAATTTCCCAATATGAGTTCCTATCAGTTGCTGTGAACACCTTGAGTGGACAGCGCTTGCTCGAGCGTTGAACTGGGTTCTTAATCCACCATACCCGGTTCGCAAGGCTGGGCGGGTGGTGAGCAGGCTTTCATTTCATCTTTTCTTATTATTTCTTATTATTTCTGCTTTTTATCTCATTACAAAATTCTGCGCATTTTTTTCTCCATCTGCGCATAAAATCTAGACTGACAACCTGCTTGTTAAATCATGCACCTGCTTTCAGGCGTAAAAACCCTGTTGTAGAGGTCTCAGTCCTCATTTGTTAGACTTACCTGTCTTTATAAATGTAACTTACTCTCCATCATTGTCTGGCTCTCAGGTTCTCACTCTTCACACACAGTCTTTCTTCTCTCCCTTTCCCCCATGGTGCGTTATGTGCGCCTTGATCCCGAGACCATTGGTCGGGGGAGCGCACTTCACCTCACCAGCACAGCTCAATAGCACCTACACGCCCTTTGTAGTCTAAGTTCTCTTGATGTTGTTGTTGTTTTTATCTTCCATTCTATGATCTATGTCGGCATATGTGCACTTTCAAAAAAAAAAATATATATATATAATTACCCGAAGGGAAAACAATGGTTACCAGGAAAACATCACTTCACTTTTGCTACTCAAGAGTTTCATGCACAAGCGGGTGCAATCATCAGGCAGGCAAAAAGCAACAATAGTGGGCCAGCCAGAACAAGGGGTCTTATAACAGGGCCTGGCGAGGTGAGGTGAGAATGATAGGAGCCAAGATCAGGGTCAGGGAAAATTAGTGCCAGTCAAAGGAAAGAGCAATTTGGGCTAGTGCAAAGCCAGTTGGTGCACGTGTAAGCACACACTAGGGAAATCAGCGCCATGAGGGATAATAGTTACGGGATGTGTAGACAGCGCTGATTTCCCTAGGTGGATGTGGGGGCTTCAGCTGATAGCTGCCCCTGCGTAGTCCTTCAGGCAGTATCTGCTGGCGTGTCGGCACTTTGAGACCATCTCGCTCCTCTTGTTCAGAGCATAGTCTCGGTTGCTCAGCGCTATCCAGGTCTTCTCTGCTGTACATAGCGGGCATCTCTTGGTTAAGTTGCTGTAAGCCCTGGACCTCTCGCAGATCCTCCACCTGATTTCACACGCTTCATTTGTGGACTTTAACCCCCAGACATGCTTTGATAGCTCTGTGCTATTCCTGTAAGTGGCGAGGCGCATAGATGTTTTATGGTTTGCCAGGCGAAGCTTGAACGGGGGTGCAGTCGATCCGAAGTAGCCTCTCGTATCGTGCTGCGTGGTCACCACCGCCTCGTACACAATAGCTTCTGCCTGGCAGTCTCCTCGCAGCGGGCAACTTGGCGGCGATCTGCAATTGCACGGCTTTGGTTCTACGGGCTTTGTCATCTGCTTGCGGTTGTGCGAGCTTATCAAAGACGCCATGTTTGGTAAGCAACAGTAGCTCACCTTGACCGAGTTTCGGTTAAATATTGTGTGGAGTCTCGATGTCTTGGGGAAATGCTTGGTGACTAGGCGGAGGAACACAGCACCAACGTTTGTGGACACGCTTTTGGAGAAGGGTGGGTTGAACCAGATAATGTTGCGCTTTCGCTGGCGCTTCCTTTGCCTCTTCTCTGGCTCGACGTACTCTATATTAACCGCATGCCCACTTGCGTGCAGTGCGTCGTTGTAGAGGGGGGCAGCACTGTCGAACACTGCCTCGTCAGCCGAGATGCTGGCGATGCGTCTACCCACTATATATAATTATATAAAATGACTGGCGCATCTTGTGGTGCTGATGCAGCCTTTATCCGGTCTAGTGATCCTAATGTAGTTATTGTTCAAAAAGCCGCGCTTAGCTTTAAGATGATCTCTAGATAATGGTGCTTCAGTCCGGTGGCTTCTCTGCGTGTTCTTTCGCGATTGCACAGAAATTTGCTGTACAGATAGCCTGTTGGTTTTCAGAGACTGGCGCAAAGTCAACTATCTCCTTTTTCTTACTTGGTCCGTTTCATCGCAATTGTCGGTTATCTCCAACACAAATTTTGACAAGTAAAACACAGGACGATCACGATATCTACCTCACTTTCGTTTGGGGTGCTGTGATGGCAAGATCAAAGGAAAAAAATTCACGGTTCGCGTGAGACTAGGTTGGAAGCCGAGTTTTCTGCATCCGTAGGAATGCCACCAAACCCGAAAGAAAAAAAAGAGAGAGAGAGAGAGAGAGAGAGAGAGAGAAAGAGAGAGAGAGAGAGAGAGAGAGAGAGAGAGAGAGAGAGAGAGAGAGAGAGAGAGAGAGATGGAGAGAGAGAGAGAGAGAGAGAGAGAGAGAGAGAGAGAGAGAGAGAGAGAAAGAGAGAGAGAGAGAAAGAGAGAGAGAGAGAGAGCGACAGAGAGAAGGCGGAGTGAGAGAGAGTTAAAGAGAGGAAGAGAGATAAGTTGATAGATACAGAGAAAAAAAGATAGAAAGAAAGAGAGAGAGAGAGAGAGTGTTAGAAAGAGAGAGAGAGATAGAGAGAGAGAGACAAAGAGAGACAAAGTCAGAGAGAGAAAGAGAAAGACAGAGAGACAGAAAGACAGAGTCAGACAGAGACGGAGAGACAGAGAGAGAGACAGAGAAAGAAAGAGAGAGAGAGAGAGAGAGAGAGAGAGAGAGAGAGAGAGAGAGAGAGAAAGAGAGACAGACGGACAGACAGACAGAGAGAGAGACAGAGAGACAGAGAGAGAGAGACAGAGAGACAGAGAGAGACAGAGAGACGGAGAGACAGAGAAAGAGAGAGAGTAAGTTACATTTATAAAGACAGGTAAGTCTAACAAAATGAGGACTGAGACCTCTACAACACGGTTTTTATGCCTGAAAGCAGGTGCATGATTTAACAAGCAGGTTTGCAGTCTAGATTTTATGCGCAGATGGAGAAAAAATGCGCAATTTTTTTGTAATGAGATGAAAAGCAGAAATAATAAGAAAATATGAAATGAAAGCCTGCTCACAACTCCATTCAGCCTTGCGAACTGAGTATTGTGGATTAGGAACCCGGTTCAACGCTTGAGCAAGCGTTCTCCACTCGAGGTGTTCGCAGCAACTGATAGGAACTCATATGGGGAAATTTTAGAAAAGAAATAATAAGATAACCGCAATCAATAAAACTAGCTGAACCGACATTTGTGTACTTTATTCATGCAATGTAAAAACGGTGGAGACGATGTGCAAAAAAACGATGAAAATATGAAGAAATGGTGAAGGGAAAAAATATGGATTCAAACAAGTTTTCGTACAACACTCATCAGGAATCGTCGTTGTACTAAAGGACACTGAAACAAAAATTGAACTATTATCGAAAATCTAAGT